AGAAAGCTGTCCTTGTTAAAGTGTCACAAGGCATTCCGCAAACACACCTAAGCCATCTCCACCTACTTCCTTTAATAATATGTGCCTATAATGAAAATGTTTTTCCACCTCAATTTTTCCTTTGTGATTTTCTTTGGCCAAAATATTCGCAGGATAATCATTATTTACTTTGAAAAGTTTCCAGTTTATGTGTAATTCACGCTGTTATTTCCCAATGTTCCCTGTTGTATAACAATATTTTTAAAATGCTGTGCTTATATAATCTGAGCTGCGTATTGAAACTGAATTCTTTTCAATCACACAATGTCCCAACATAAAAGTCTTTTATGGTTGAATGGCGTGACTGGGATTAGCTTCTTTTTAATTCTTACTGATCTGGGTATCGAAGGGGAATGAGGCCTTAGCCAGGATAGTTTTTCAGAAAGCAAAACACACTGGCCATAGTGGTTTGTAAAGAATTATAATGGAGAATAGCGTTCCTGGAAAAAGAATCAGAGGTCAACCGAAGGGACACAAAAGTTCAAGGACAAGCTGGACAAGAAAGTACAATAGGCGCTAAAATCGGCAATGGTCGAATGTATTTCCGACGTGCCGTAATGAAATCATATATGAGATGGTGATGAAAGAGTGACTTGCGCGGTGACCACTTTCACACAGTCTGCCTTAGAAAACTAATGCAGATCAGATAGCAAGACAAAGTACCTGATATCATAGTCCTTGAGAAAGCAGCCATGCCCAGCATCCATACTCTGCTGATGCAGTATCCAATTAGTTGGGCTTGTCATGTGGCACAAGCTCCCCCCCCCCTTCCCCCCCCCCAAAAAAAAATATCTTCTATGGTGAGCTGCAAAATGGGAAACGTTCCCAATACGGGCAAAATAAACGCTTTAAGGACACCTTGAAGTCTTCACTCAAAGCATTTGGGATAAATGACACCAACTGGGAGGCTGCCTCTCAAGACCGAAATGCATGGCGTGCAACTCTACACAAGGATGCGGCTACATGTGAAGTAAACAGAACAGCAGGGCTGATTAGGAAAAGGATGGACAGAAAGGCGACTGCAGAAGATCCCCTCCCTGGCACAACACTCATTCCCTGTCCTCACTGTCCACGAACTTTTCGGGCCCGCATCGGCCTCATCAGTCATCTTCGTACTCATACTTGATGAAAAAGAGTGGTCATCATCATCTTGATGGACAACACACACACAATGAAAGCAACGTTTTGTAGATTACACATTATATAACGGTGATGAGCATTTTTTACTTTCGTTTTTATGTCTTTTGGCGTTTTTATGTTTTATTACCCCATTCCACTCTGCTTGAGAATCACTTTTTATTGTGATTCTCTAGAAACGTGTCCGGTTAGCCATGCTTTTTGAAAATCTTAATATTTGTTTTAATAATGCAAAGTATTGTCAGGCGTTTCTATTACATTTATGATATAAGGTATTGTCAGCATTTTATGTAACTTCAATGGATTGTCGGTCATTCGTCAGAACCTATTATTCAGAAACAAATAGGATATGCTATATCTAACTCCCACAAACGGAGATGAATTTCTTAAGATGCACTTTGGTTGTTTTTAAAACTAAAATAACGTGACATTTAAATGAATAGATAGACTGAAATGCAGTAGATAAATATTTCTTTTTTCTTTTCTTTTTCAGATATCATATTGAAACTATGAAAGATCGAACTGAGTCTCTGGGAACAAAGATTACAGAAGAATAGATCGTATTTCATGGAAATAAACACTGTGCAGTACAGAGGTACTGGAAAGACTACGAATAAAAAGAGAATTACTGGGGGTGGGGGGAGGAGGACAACTGAAATACTTTGATCAAATTAAGAAACAAAGGGCGTTTTTCAAAATCATACTGGATGGAAAGATCGAGGGCAAGAAAGCAAGAGGTAGACAACGATACAAGTGGAAGGAAAACATCAAGAAAGGGAAGAATATCGGTCTGAGCTGAGTTGCGTTAATTTAAAAACCGACATCCCAGCACTTGCGGCATTCCCATAAGCGCTCTGTCACCATTTTCAGCAGCCAGCGCAGAGCTCTAGTATTAATGGTGCCAAAAAATCTGAGAAAGTGTGCAACCAAGACAAGCGTGTTGAGATCCATTGCAGCCATCCTTCAGTATGGAGACTGTGCCTGACTGATTGATTGATGGGGAAAAGAAACATTTATTTGTACATTTGCGCCCGGAACTCTGTATACAGAAAGAAATGGCTCTGTCTTCACGGCTGCCCTGGTAAAAACAGGCAGTCATGTTTGATCGTTGTTGAAACTGTACTTCATTTATAAAGGATTCACTTATTTGCTTCATTTATGTAATTGTTACTGTAGTATGCATCTGACGAGGTACAGAGAAATATGACAGGCAATAAATTGTGCAATCTATTGTCTGTGTCTTCTTTGTTGAAACATTTTTATGTTAGCTCTTTTGTTGTAATCGTATTTTAAGAATATAGTATATTATCCTTACCCACACAGGACTGATAAAGCCTTGACAGGTGTCCTAATTGAAACTACTTTGAAGATTGAACGGGCTGTCTGTGAATCGCTCTGTTACCAGCCATCGTGACTCAGATTTTTCATATCTGATTGTCAATCATTTAGGGCTGTAACAGGAAGGGAAAAACAACTCATGACACAACTCACCCTTTACCATAACTAAATCTACCTGCTTATCTCCCTTATTTGACTGACTGACTGACCGATTGACTGACTTTCTACCCCACCAGGACATCACACAAGCGATATCCACCCGATGACACAATGTGCCACCATGTGGATAAGGATGACCGTGGAGAGGTCCCAGAAACCTCGTTCAGCAAGTAGGCTCCATCCTGGCTATATTGCAGCACCCGGCAACATCCAGGGTCGGGCTTCAAATAACGAAAAATTTCATCCTAAAAAGGACGGTGAATTAGATTATACATTTCAATCTCCCTTATTTAACCGTATTTTTTGTTTATCAAAACGTGAGTTGTCAAAATTCAGTTCACAATGTAGCTGCGTTATGTTTCTGAGCGCATCCCTTAAAACTTTCCTTAGCCGACCAAGAAATGAAAAAGCTGATATACTAGCTTAAGAAGGTGCAAATTAAGAATACCATGACCTACATGTCTCTTATCAACAGAAGAAAACAATATTTAAATCAACTAGAAAGCACCAAAAACCGGCGAAAGACTATAACCATATGATGGACAGACCAGGGCAAGTCATTATTTTACACCTTAGAACTGGACACAATCGACCTCTCTGCCCCATGTACAGACAATTTAAGATTAACGAATCAGCCATCTGTACCTGTGGATTAGCACCTGAGACCACAGATCACGTCCTCCAAGACTGCTCGAATTTCAACATTTCTAGGCAAAAATTTTGGTAAAGAGAAACACTGGTGAAAGCCAAACTTTACAGGTCGCTGACCGTATTACAACAGACAGTGAAGTTCATACTAGAGACAGAATTATAGATATAAGATGATCTGTTTCAAGCGAACCAAAGAAGAAGTTTATAGGCTTATACAATCTCATGTTCCTAACATTTATAATTCTTTAATTAAAATTAATAATAATCAATTCTAGAGTTCTTTGTTCGGGTGGGTTTTTGAGGTTTCTTTTGAGGGGGGAGGGGGGGGGGGGCGGCTGACTTGCTAAGGACGTTCCATGTCCACCTCAAAAAGTAAGTGGGATGTCCCATTTTCAGTCCAAGATATTATGGTCACCCTACTAAGAAATAAATGACAAAAAGTATGACAAAAAAAGAGAGACAACGATGGAGAGAGAGAGAGAAGAGAAAGAAAAAAAAAAAAAAAAAAAAAAAAAAAAAAAAACTACTTACATTTTAGCTGGTGAATATCCAATGTGTATCCACATAATCCACGTCAAATATTTAAATAATATATACACATGCTTTAAGTGACCCAATATCCACTTATGCGGGTATATGAAAACTAACAACTCAACCTATCACCTACAGTATACTATACTTAAATATGCTGACACTTAGTGAGTGATCTTAGCTAGCATTCTTTTCTTGAATGATTTATCCAGCAGCGATGTGTCATTTGGCATGTTTCTACAGTTATTACAACAACAACAAAAAAAAAAAAAAAAAAAAAATACCAGAGATGGCAGCGCTTTGGAAGCAATGTTTACTTCAGAACAACCCTCGCAGCAGAAACCATTTATCTCATTATTGAAATACACCTGTAAACTGCATGAACCTATGTGATCATTGATGTTTGCAAGCTCGACGTTTCGTTTCCATCTTAGCTGATAAAAGTTTCTGCATAGCTGCAGATGTTACACAAGTCAAAAATATTATAAACTTAGAAGAGTATGTAAAACATTCACTGTCAAGCAGCTGTATGTAGTCTGCGGACATTGCACCTGAGTCAACTTCATATGCTAATTCGTGTAGGCTAGTCCCCCCCCCCCCCCCATTTTCCACACTCGAATTTTTCTCAATTTCTAGGAAAGGGGCGGTGGGAAAGAGAAGGGGCAGGTCAAGACCACGTCCCCAATTTTTTTTGTAAAGGAATTTTGTAGGTGGAAAGGGAAAGGGAGGGGGGGGGGGGGGGGGTCTTAAACCGCCATAAACACCCACCCCCCCCCCCCCCCCCCCCCATCCACCACCACCAACCCTTACCCTAATGCAACTAACTCCGAATCAAACAATAAAACGAAGTAAATATTTTTTGAGAAAAAAAAATTGGGCTACTTTATTCTGTTTTTTCTTTCTTTCTATGTCTCAACAAGAACAAGAAAAAAAGAACAACAACAACAACAACAGCGACAACATCAGCAAAAGCACAACAACATTTTAACTGAAGAATTCAAATTCCAAGAAGGCTAGATATTAAAAACAAAATAATAATTGTACCGGAAAAGAAAGAAGGTCATAGTTTTTAAACACATAGCAACAAAGCAATAGAAAAGCCGAAAGAATATTTAGAATCTAGCATTCCACCGTATGCATCTGTCATGCCGTTAATAGTCACAGATTATACCTGGGAAGAGACAGACAAAATAGTATGGATTACCGTTCCACTTAAAGGTGTAAAACCCAATAAAGTTGATGTGTTTTTATCTGACGAATATTTAAAGGTAGGTTCAATTTGTGTACTTTTAATGGCGCCCAACGCGTTGTCAATGTAAACAGCTACATTAGAATTGTAAGGACACCGTTTTTTTTTTTCGTTTGATTAAAGTTCTGTTCAAAAAAGTGTTTGTGGGTATGAAGTATATCCAATTTTGGTGTAAAGTAGAATGTGCAGTAAATAGTTACAATGCGGCATAAAGACTGACAAAATGATCACTTGGTCTCTCTCTGAGAAGAATGGGCTGTTGAATTCCGATGATGATGATGATGCATATTCCAGTATTAATCTGACAGTACCGGTTTATAGCTGCTTCCCTATCCGACTGTCTGCTCCCCAAGTATTGCCTGTCTTTATCACAGTTTTGTTTTCTCTTAGTCTTTCTGTTAGTTTCCCTAGTAGTATGTGATGTTTCCATGTCAGACGACTATTGCCTGTCAAGCTTGACTGTTCCAAGAAGGTTTAGAATTAGAGTGTTGGAGCGGGGAAACAGCATCATTGTTAAGTTTTAGTTTAAACATTTCTTCGTTTGTAGACAGCGAGAAGAATATTGCTAGAGTTTTGTTTTTGTTTACTTTGAGACTCATTTATTGGCCCAGTTTATGACACCGTTCAGGCTTTCCTGTGAGTCACAGTGGCAGAGCGGCTAGATGCTCGCCGCGGGTCGGAAGGTTGTAGGTTCGCTCAGTGGCGGAGCCGGACTTTTTAAAAAAAATGACTTTGGCTCCCAGGTCGACCCAGCCTTGAGTGGGTACCGGGTGCAGTCCCAGGAAGTAAAGGCGGCCAGCGTGATACTGACCACATCACCCATCTTGTGCCAATTGGTCTATAAAAATATAGGTCTAGCCCTATATGCCCTATACGCCTAAAGACCTAGAAAAGGGTCCTTTGCCTGTACTTTTTATGCTTTCCTGGAGTTTTGATATGGCAAGTGCAGTGGACTCTGAAGTGTACCACTTGTGCTCAGTCATCTACATGAAGAATATTACAGATGATATCATTATCATTATAATCATCATCATTTGCCTTGCGAGCATATGTGATACTTCCACTTATCTTCATTTATTATGAATTTTTATATTTACATTTGTCCAGTTGACACATGTTCCAGTTGTTCTCTTCTCAAAAGTTGACAAAATATGACAATTGTAAACTGGCCCTTTCTCATGAATGCCAGCCTTGATCTAATGTGTTCTGTTACTTTTGACATTTGGTCAGAGCAAACTAAATAATTCTGGCATCTGCAGTGGATACTGTCTTGCTTCTTTACAAATAGTGCACTGATTATTAATTACCTCCCTTTGGAACACAATTGAAACCCTCTGGTACTAATAAGTTTAGGTGTGAGCATGGTTACAGTAAAAGTACAAAATAGAATAGTCACTTTACATGCCAGTGACACATTGGGCATATGAGGCTAATCTCATATTTGTATATCAAGAGTAAATAGTTGATTTACTTCGCATAGTTGTAAAAGACACCGATAAAAGAATAGACATAATTTAAAGACACTAAGAGATATTTTGATTCAAACAGTTTTGTCATTACCAAGTACATTCATATCTATTTTCACATTTAACAGGCAAGTTACCCACCATACCTATTTGAATGTCTTCTTGTGGGATTGGTTGATGACACGAAAGGTTCAGCTCAAATTGGCAATGGAACGGTTGTATTCAAGCTGGTCAAGAAGGAAGAGGGTTTATGGAATACTCTGCAGTCTCCAGATGCTGGTAATCTTTTGTTTACTCATCTTTTAGTGTAGTTAAAAGTAACTTAGCATGCCTACTGACCTGAAGGTCTAGGGTTTAAATCCGCATCAAAGCTCCCAGGTTGATCCAGTCTAAAATTGGGTACAAGGCAATAAAGGCAACACAGAAGTAAAAGCAGCCTAATGCAGACTACATACACCACTGAATGTCCATTGGTCTGTAATGATTGCTCAGACAATTTTATTAGTTTTATCACTGCTAAGCAAATTTTGTGAACAGTATACCAGTTTCCAAACAATATATCAGGTTCTAAACAATATATCAGTTTCCAAACAATATATCAGGTTTCAAACAATATACCAGTTTCCAAACAATATACCTGTTTCCAGAAAAATGAGTGGAATGTTTAACTAAATAAGTTAAATTTAATAATAATAATAACATGTGTTGGAAATGCACCTTTTTTTTCGTTTCTTCAGCTGACAAGAATATTATGAAGCAAAAACGTGAAGAAGCATTTGAAAAGATTAAAAAAAGACTTGAGGTTGAATCAGCCCAAAAAGCTGAAACAAAAAGGCTAAATGAAAAATTGGCAATCAATGAGATGATGAAGGTAAGATTATACTATACAGATCCAATGCTGAGAAAGCTAATGTTTAATTTTGTTTTCAAACATTTTTAATTGTAGAAAAAAATTTGCTGTCCTTAAGTTTTCAGTCCTTCAAACTAGAACATTGTCCATCAGCAGAATGTTGCTATGAAGTTGCTTTGTTAGCTACAGGCTGCTCTAATGAACCTCATGCAGACATATCTGTGTCAGAGTTTCAGAAAGGCAGGGGCCCACTTTTGGAAAAGCAAGGTCTCTGCTAAAACAATTTGGGAAGAATGAATGTAATGAGGGCCCTTTGGGAGCAAGTGAACAGTGCAGAGGCACAGATAGATCATTATGGTCTGAAAAGAATGGCACTGCGGGAAGTTACCAGGGGATCTGGCCGATGCTTGACACTCAGGGAAAAGGGACGACACGGATATACAGTCAAACATTTACTGGTACCATCGAAATTGGAACTCTTCATTTGCTGCTAAAAATGATGACGGAGCGCCCTGTTCTGAGTCCTATGACGTTGATTCTTAATTCAACATTCAGCTTTCATTCAATCTGTGAAGATAGAATGGAAAAAAAAAAAAAAAAAACTTACATACTAGATTATTACATTGTGACAGCATATGTATTTTTGACAGAAACTTGCAGACCAGAATTGATCAAATTCACACTGGACAAACTCGGAGCATACATTTATGTGTGGTTCTTACTGACTATGCTGCATGTAAATGAGAAGCAGCAAAACAAAATCCATAGCTTATATTAGAAGACTGTTCCGATTTTGCCAATGTGAAAGAGAAAAACTAGCCCACAGGAGTAACCTTTCTAGACACACTATGGGATACAGGTGAAGACTTCAAGTTCACTGTCCTGTTTACAGTAGCCCTTATCGGATCAGACACAATGGATAATGATAGATTGAAAAAGTTGGCATACCTAATTTTTTTTCCTACACACACACACATGCGCACACATACATGTATAATATATGTATATAGCCCAGCTCACTTGATATGTTGGTAAACTTAGCTGCACAGCGACAGGGAGACATACTTCTTGTGATCCGAGTTTACGCTTGGGGTTAGGTAGAAAAGCCACATGTTTAACAGATTTATGGTTATTTGTCATGGAATCAAGGTGAAAGGGTTGCGATCTCCATAGTACCGAGCCAAAGGGTTTACAACTCATGGTTTCTGGATTCAGAAAAAAAAAATATGTGTATGCATAAATGTATGCATTTGCGATACATGTGTGCATAAATGTAAGCATTTGTGTGTGTGCTTGTGTATGTATGTGTGTATATTTGCATCTGTGTGTGTATACATGTGTGTGTGGGCTTGCCTGCGTGCGTGCGTGTCTATCTCTCTCCTGGGTGAATGTGTATCTTGTTCATTATAGATAAATCTCAGCACTTGCACCAAAGTTTTTTATGTATTTCTGAGACCAGAAAGAGAAGCAAAGAATAGAAACACTGTTTCCTGTCAAGCATCTCAGAAGAGGAAACTAAGGAATGTTCCTACGAGACTGGCTAACGTCACATAGAAACATTAACTTCAAATCCAAAATCTAGCCAACAACAAAATAGTTGGTTGAGTATGAATACTAATATTTTTGTTTCTTTACTTCTTCTTGTGCCGCTTCAGGTGTCGAAGGAGATTTAAAGTGCTAGTTCTTGATTTCTGGCCGCCTTGACCACAGACACATCAGACTGTTGTAGAGTTACTAAGATGTTATCTTTCTATATTGTTCTTGGTATATCCCTTGTTCTATGTCCCTCTCCTCTTTTGCTGTGTGCCTTGTATGATATGGCATCATAAGGCATACTAATAAAGCAGGCGAACCATTTTATTTGTTGACTTTGTATGTAATTTACTATTGGTTTTGTGCAAAATGTTTCTCTTATGGCTAGTTTTAGTGCATCGGGTCACTCCTGCACCCTTCTCAGCCATCAGTTTCCGTGATTACTGATTGCCCGCCCCATCCCCCTTGTTGTGAGTGACCATGTCTAGGACTAGGAATGTATTGTGGGAATGAATTTGCTATGTATTAGATGTTTTCCTTTTGCTGATTGTGATTGTCTTGTTCTGTAAAGATGGTGGACTGAGTTCTGGCTAGCTGTTAAATGCTTGGTTTGCATTACTGCATTGGCTGTTAATTTCTTCATCCAATTTCCCATCTTTGGTGACTGTTGTTCCCAGATATTTCAACTCAGATGCCTGTTTAAAACCTTTGCCCTCTATTACTATATTCAAGTTCTGCATTCTTCTTCCTGTAGATGTTAGTTCTGTCTTTCCATTGTTGATTCTCATATTTGTTTGTTTCATTTCTTGAGTCATGCATTTGAGATGTTGCCAGTTAGGATTCTGTCACTGGTCTCAGCCTTGCTTCTATTATCCTGGCATAAATATTACCAACATAGCTTAACCTTTTCACCTCTGTAATAATATGTTTAAAAAAAAAAACATTAACCTCTTCACCCTTGAAATTTCTTTTGAAAAATGCTTCACTGTAATTATCTGAAACTGTGCTCTAGGAAACTATTAGAAGAAAAGAAGAAGCAGAAGAAATTAGGAGTCTTGGTCAATGTTGATAAATATCAAAGGGATGGAATCGCTAGACCACTGAACAGACAGGTGGGCATGAAGTCCTCTGTTTCTTTGAAGAGGTCATGTACTACATTTAAAAAAAAAAAAAAATTTCTAGTCAATAAATATGTTATTTAAAGAAGGTTTATTTCTACGTGAAACTAAAAACAAAGGGAACAAAGAATTAAGAGATTTACTTCTTTATTGACAGTTTAAAGGTGGTTTTAGAAGATGATGCCCGACACAGAATTTCTGACATTAAAGAAAATGGTGTTAAAGAAATGAATGATCACATTCATCTATTGACAACAATGTTGTACTAATAATACTTGTATATATTTTTGCTGCTTGATAAACAGATAGAAGATGAAGCCCGACACAGAATTTCTGACATTAAAGAAAATGAAAGAAAGAAAGCTACAGATGATCTGGAAAAGTGGAAAGAAGAACAAAGACTGAAAGCAGAAAAAGTCAGTTTACATTTTGAAGTAGATGTTTTAATCATGTATCCAAATTTTTCATACATCATCATCTTGTGTCCTGCTAGATGGTATTAGTTAATCAGGTGCCATCACCACAGTGATGGTTGGCTGCAATGGATCTCCAACATATTCTTTCTCTTGTCATGGTTGTACACTCTCTGACTGCTGTTCATCCATCTCTTGATATTGTCTGCCCACTTGGATCATTGTCTACCTTTTGCTCCTCTGCCCTTGAGCTTTCTCTCCAGTATGGTTTTTACAAGTGTATTATGTCTTTTAATGTGGTCAAAATATTTTAGTAGAGTTTAAAAAACAAAATATATTTCAGTAATTGCTAGACGATACAGATGTTCACACCTCTCCCATCGGTCTCAGTCACTGATGCTCAAGTACTGTTAATGTGCTTTCTCTATGCCAGTTTCTATGCAAACCTATTCCCAAGTCTTTTCAGTGTGTACATATAGAAAATATTTTAAAACAAAATTGAGAATTTCCTGGCCTGAATATCAACAGAAGGATAATAGACATTCTGAGACATGCTGATGACACAGTGTTACCACCAGAAAGTGAGCAAGAGTATAAGACCTAGTAGAACAAGTAAACAGGGCATGTGCAGCATACAGTTTAGAAATTATGTTGAGAAAACAAAAGCTTTGATAATCAGCAGTGGAAAGAAGCAAGAACAACAGTGATCATCACAATAAATGTCGAGATTTTAGAACAAGTAAAATGTTTCATCTATCTTAGACATGTGATAATAGATAATGGCAAAAGTGGAAAAGAAATCAAATAGAGAATGGAAATGGCCAAAAAAAGTAACTTTAGGCAGATGTGATAATTACTGACATTTGGAGAGATACACCCTATATTAAAATTTAGCATTACACAATGTTACGGATACTCAATCCTACCATATGGTGCTTAAACTTGGACATTGAACAGGCAGCTAGAAAATCAAATTGAGTCTCAACAGATATAGATACCTGTGTACAGAAGAACAGGTAATATTTCATGGACACAAAAACAATCACATACAGAGGTTCCAGAGAGACTGTTGGCAAATTGAGAGCTGTTGAAAGCCAAAAAAAGAGACAGGTGAAATATTTTTGTCACATTAAAAGACATAACAATCCTTTATAAACCATACTAGCAGGAAAAGCTAAAGGCAAGAGAGTGAGAACCGGACAGCGATACAAGTGGAAGGACAATGTCAAGAGATGGACGAACAGTCTGAGAGTGTGTACAATCAAGGTGAGACACAAGGAAGGTTGGAGATCCATTACAGCCAACCTTCTTTGTGAAGATGATCCTTCATTGATTGTTTGACTATTTTTCACAGTTAAATTAAAAGACGGTTACCGATTGAAAGTGATTTACTGAGAGAGTTGTGTATATTTATGAGAATAGATATACACATAATTATGTGAATTTGACTGTATGTGCAAGCATGCCCCTAAGGCAAAGAAGAGAGGACAACAGTAATTGCTATTAATGTTTGCTGCAGGAGAAAGAGATTCTGCTTGCTGCGCAAAAGCAAGAGGTAATGGCACAGAAAGAAAAAGACAGAGAAGAACGAAGAAGACAGAGAAAAGGTAAGTAAAGTGAAGAACCCTTTTCTGAAAGTCAACAATTTCAGTACCAGACTAATCATCTAATGTTTGTTGATTATTCTGTACATGGTACGCTTGCATAACTCTATGATGCATTCATCTGTTATTTTTATCAGGAGAAGAAATAAACCCAAATGAAAAGTAGACCAGCAAGCTTCACAGTACAGCAAACACAAATGGAAAGTAAATGTTTCATCTATAGAGCCTTCATCAGCACATTACATAAATCAACAAAACCACACGTATAGGCACGAATACACAAAATCACTTAACTGATGTATTCCATATAGCAGCTGCATTGTTGTCTAGTCAGTGGAATGAAAAGACAAGTTGATCGCTAAGAATAAATAGCTTGAAAATACCAAAGGCTGTGCCTCAAACACTAGTTGAAACTGTGGTGACAGTTAGGTTTTTTTTTCCTGAAGTAAAAATAGGGTGGCTCTCAAGAGACCTATGGACTCTGTCACTGGAGCGGTTGGATTTAATGCCATCAATCATCTCCATGTCGGGGACACCTCAGTAATCCTGTGAATTGTTTTGCTTGTGTGTGTGTGTCTCACACCTGTTATTTTAACATATGTCCAGTAACTGCATTATTGCACCTGATTTACACTCAAGAAGTGGGAGTGTAAATATCACAGACTTTGTAGTTGAGTGTGTTTACCAATGACATGAAGAGGATATATAGAACAATTGTTTGGTAGGTAGGTAGGTAGTTGAACCTCACCAGGACATCACACAAGCCATAAATACCCGGTGACACAAAGTGCCAGCATGCAGATGAGGATCACCCATGCAGAGATCCCAGAAACCCCTTTCTGCCGTTAGGCCATATATATGGCTAGGCCATATCTATGCCCCAGCTATATTCAGGCCCCCCGGCAGAAGCCAGGGTGGGGCTTCAAACACAAAATTGCATCCCACAAGGGGACCACATTTCTACAGCAATCAATAAGAGTAATTGTTTGGAACTCAAAGAGTTAACCATGTTTATTTTTCTTCTCTATATGATATGATATGAAGTTATGAATATGTATTTTTTTACTAGCAGCACTTTATGTTTTGAAATATTGTTTAAAGAACATAGTTTCATTCATAGATAAAATGGATTATTTTCTTGTATCTCTTTATGTTTGTATTCATTTCTTTCTGTGCATTTTTCTAACTTCAGCCTTCTTCACATGTTTTCATTTAATAACTATTGTGTTTGTTTACATTGCAGCATCCATTGCATCTCTGAGTGTTCTGAAACAGTTTTTATCTGGGCACTACATAAAATATAATTTAATTACTTGTATTTCTAATTAAAAGCTATTCATTTCATGTTTTTATAATAACAACATGGAAATCTTATCTTTGCCTATCACAAACAATTAGAGCATCAGACATATTTTGTTTTTCTCCAATAGCTAGAGCATCAAATATATTTGAAAAAGAGGGACTGATTACTGGAGCACCACTGAGAGAAAGTGGAAAAATAACCGTGACTCATACTTCTCGAGTTTTTCCTACGCCCGCTAGAGAATCCCAGACTCCCCAGGAGGAGGAGGTAACTGTTATTTAATATGTTCATAAGACTTTAATTATAGACATCAAGGGAAACAATTCAGACACAGGTTCTCTCCAAAATACCTCAGCTTTCTGAAAATAATTGCTGTTTATGAGCCACTTATTCTCAATGCTCAGATCGTGCAGGATGTTAATGTATGTCTTCTCTTTGGTCCATGGAATTTAAAGAGTTTTTCTGTAGCATTTCAAGTCAAAAGCCCCCATTGTTTTCTTCGGTGAATGAGTAAGTGATTTTTATTCAAATCTGTAAGTTGCCAGAAAATATGGAATTAACACCAAAATGCCTCAAGGTCTGGAAACAGGTCTTTTGTTGTACTTCTTCTAATTTGGCTTGTTAAATTTGTTGTCTTTTTCTTCTTGAAGCTGTTACATTACTCTTTCTTCTAGTTTCAGACAGGATGGTGCGTCTAAGGTCCCTGCTAGTCCCCATAAGCTTGTCTTGCTATGCAGCTTCCTTGTGTCAGTTCCCCAGCCTCTGCCCAGATTATGTAGGGCAATACTGCAGCTACATTTTATGCATGTTTCTGATATTTCCATAAAGCATATAGTTATATCTGTTTCTTTATTTCATTTCTTAGTGGCTAAAAAAGCAGGCAGATGCTAGAAGGTCTATTCAGTTATCATTGGACAAGGATTTAACTGAAGAGGAGAAAAATCCACAGTGGTTGCAAGACAAAGGGAAGTAAGTGCTGTCATGAGGGTTAAATTGTTGTATAGGTCAAATGAATTGTTCATCTCTACTGTGATAGACTGCGTGATGAGTACCTGTTCCCTCTTTTCTAAGAAGAAAGCTCTGCTTACACTATATGTAAATATTGTTATTAACTAGGAGCCACGGTAGTGCAGAGTTAGCATGCTTGTTTGCTGGCTTGATAGTTTAAAAAACAAATTCCATTCTATGGATGTAAAAATTTAAACTCGTGTTTTTTTTCAACACTAGTCATCCCCTAAGGGGACACAATTTTTCTTTATTCTTTACACATATAAACAATCCAGTCATCTCCTTGTGAGATGCAATTTTTTGTTATATGAAGCCCTACTCTGGCTCTTGCCAGGGGCCGCAATATAGCCTGACCATAAATATGGTCTAATGGCTGAACGCAGTTCTGGGACCTCCCCACGGTGATCCTCATCCATATGGTGGCACTTTGTGTCATCGGGTGTTTATCGCTTTTCTGATGTCCTGGTAGGGTAAAAATCGACTCTACTACTCTTTATTCTGAAGCCTTACCCTGGCTTTTGCCAGGGACAGCAATAGAGCCCAACCATAAATATGGTGTAATGGCTGAACGCGGTTTCCGGGACATCTCCACGGGTGATCCTAATACACATGGGGGCACTATGTGTCATCGGGTGTCTAGTGGGGTAAAATGTACTACTACTACTACTAAACTAGGTTTTCAGTTCAGTTCAGCCTAAAATGGGTACCAGGAAATGTCATGGGATGTAAGACCCCAAATAAAGACGTTCCCTCGTAGAATGCATTTTTGGGTTATTTTAAAGCCCCACCCTGGCTGTTACCGGGTGGTCTGAATATAGCCGGGCCATAAATATGGCTAGCCATCGATATGGCCTTATTGCTGAAAGGGGTTTCTGGGACCTCTCCACGGGTGATCCTCATCCGCATGGTGGCACTTTGTGTCACCTGGTGTTTATAGCTTGTGTAATATCCTGGTGGGGTACAACTACCTACCTATCTGGGATGTAAGGATTGGTCTGTGTGATAATGTCCACACAACTCTGCAAATTCCAGTTGTTCTATAAAAGTATAGCTTACATCATATGGACAGTATAGCTAAAAACAGGGGACATTTGTTTTCAACTAACAAGAGTTATTGTGATTTTGTTTAGAATTAAATTAAGATATATTCAGATTTATTGAATGTCAGGAGTAAGAGTTTAAAATTAACTTTCAATGTGGTTGCTCAGAAATTTGTTATACTCATGTGTGGAGTAAGTAGGAAAAACAGGATTAACCATAAATTGAATAGTTGAATCATATGTAGACAAAAGTGATATATAGCATTTTATACTTTTAATAAATTAATTCTGAAAATTCTTTTTTTTTTCTTTTTATTTTCAGTTCATTCTTTGCTTCGGGTGACTATATGTCTGCAATCAATGCGTATACTCATGCCATTCATCTTGCACCAAAGCTACCAAAGTATCCTTGCTGGAATATTTATGATTTATTGATTGATCAGTTTGTCCCTCCATGTGGAAAGCAAGGAAAGATGGCAGGTTTTATGTTTTAGTGCTTCCATCAATACACCTCCACAATCCTAATGGGTCAAGGGTTATGTTAAGTATGTATGTTGTCCCACCAAGCTGCTACCCATAGGCTACCCAAAGGTTCATCATAACATCCTTCTTTTGCACTCATCTGAAGATGAAATTTCATTGTGCCTATTTACAGCATGGCTGCGATATTTATGCCTTTTGGCCGACACATCCCACTTATGCAAGCCTTTATTGACTGGAATAACCCTTCCAGTGTACTAGGATTCATAAATCTCAATCTGGAAGACCGGCCAACAAGGCAGATCCCAGATACCCCATTCAACCTCGTAAGAAGTTATAATGAGGGCATCCTTGGCGGCTGCACCAGGCAGTATAACCTGCAGCCATATGGAAGTAAGGATTTCTTCTGATGTATATTTCATAGGCACATCTAGTTTGCCCTTAGCTGTTACAGTACCCAATGGTTTAATCATTCCCACTCAGCCAGGTTCAGTTGCTATGTACAAGCAAAAGTACATTACATGTAAAAGAGGCTAAAAATACTGTGGGTTATGTGGTTCAGAAACACAGAGAATGACTGAAGCAGTTACAAATAAACTACAAACATTTATTAACTGGTACCTGCACAGAATAAAAGGAGTTACTTGGTATAACAGAAACTTCAAAATGGAGCTTAGGGAAAAAAAACTATACAAATTCCAATAAATGAAGAAGTGAAATGCTACCAGGGGATAGGATATATTTTGAAAATAACTTAATAATAATGTACGTGACTCAGATGCTGTTACCCTGGAACCGGCAGAATTAAAAAACAAAGTGAGACCACACAGTTCATAGAAAAGAGAATAAGAGGCAGGAGAGCATACAGAGAGGGTAAGTAAAGAACCATTTGTATGCTAGTGCTGCATCAGACACATGAGGCTAGACTCACATTCTTATTAAATAGACCAATCAGCATAGGATAAATCGTGTGGTCAACATCAAGTGGCCTGTGTTTGTTATCCTGCACATTGCTTGGTACTTATGTTAGGCTGGATGGACCTGGTAGCGAATCTCAATTTGAAAACAAGTCTGCCTTAATGTTGATTTAAACCTAAGACCCTTGGGCCAGCAGGTGAGCGACTAGCCACTGCGCTAACACAAATCCCTAATCACTTTCACCTTTGTGAAAAAACACTATTATAGATTTACATTAATTTAGTGAAGATTAATCTGAGTGGGAAAAAATACAAATGGAAGGAAGAAAACAGTTTAAAACAGTATAAAACCTCAGTCTTTAACCAATGACAAGCTTGTATTCCAACAGAGCAGCATGTCATCTGAAGCTGAGAAACTTTTTCAAATGTATTGAAGATTGCTCAAAGGTATCTGTGTTTTAGTTTTTTGGTAACGTCATTTATTATTCTGCGTATTCTTTATTTGTCTCTTGTCATGTACCAGGAGTAGAACAAAGTCTGGTTTCTGTTCATGTCTCTTTGAATGAGACCATCCCTCTTTTAGTTCTGGTGTCTCATGTTGGAAGAGTAGAATCACTGAATGTTATAAATGGCAACTAATTAGGGATTTGCCGAAACTGGATGTGTTAGGCTGAAAGGTGCAGATATGGCAGCCTAGCTGTAAAACACAACCATATATGCCAACTGCCATTTTAAGGGCGATTGAAGAGGAAGGAGACCAAAATAAGGCAATTAAGGTACCTAGACTATATAGAGAGACGCATTTCCTTGTGACAGAATGTACAGGATTGAAAGGTGGAGGGACAGTTTGCAAGAGGACTATTTCGGTGGGGAGAGAATGGTGTAGAGAGAATCTGGCCGACACTCAACACTTAGAGGAAAAGCATGATAAACACAAATCTTTTAGAGGCTTCGTGATCTTGAGGCATGGCATCTGCCTTGAGTGCAGGAGGTCCTGGGTTCAAGCGCCGGTGAAGGCTGGGATTTTTTCCCTTGGACTTCAAGTAATTTCCTCTAGTCTCTGTCTCTGGGTAGTAAGATCGGACGCCCGTGTGTATTGTTGTGCAAAATTAGGAGTTAAAAATCTACCCAAAGTATTTCAGTATCCTCACTGGTGCTAAAGAGTTCCTGCACTGTGCTGAGATTTTTCCAATTCAGGCTTGAGTCACAAGTAGAACGGAGCACTTATGGGTTACTACCCTTGTGCCATGATGTTGATCCGTCATCTAAATATAAACCTAGACATATAATGAATGCTGCTGGTACCATCAGAACTGGAACCACTCTCTGGTAGCTGAAGTTAGGAAAGCACATAGAGGAATGTCCCAGTTGCTGTAATGTCAGTTCTTAATTCAGCTTGACACACTAGAGGAAAGCAACATTACATTAAGTGATCGGCACCTTTCCGTCTTTCCAGACCATAGATATTGCACTATAAGGAGGCATGGGACTCACAGCCCATGGCAATGACGAGTGTGACTAGCAAGGCCCGCCTATGTTAAGAAAAGTCTTCTGCAATTATAGCATGGAATTTTAGGACCATTGTTATGTGAGCATTTGTGTTTAGTCTGTTTCTTCTCAGATGCTGAGCTCTCATCCTTTCTGCAATCATTTCTTCCTTCATTCTCATTTCCTTCCTAATGTGCCCGCTCCACACAACACCGTCCATGGCATTTTGTTCCCAGGAGTCCACCTCAATACCTGTATCATTCATGTCCCACATGCACATGTCTTTTTATTTCAATAGAGGTCAGCCACCACATCTTTTACCCTGCTTTAGTTAGTTTAGTTTAGTTTTTAGTTTTTCCTTCCACGTATGCCGCTAAGCGTTGTGGGGAGATGCAAGTTCCTGTCATAAGCAAGGCGGGCAGCATCTGATGTTCTGAGGCCATGCTTTTGGCAGGTTTCGGAGACCCCGTCAATCCACCGTTTCCTTGGTCTTCCTCTTGCCTTATATCCTGAGCTTCTTTGGTTGAAAATTTGTGATGTTATTTGATCATTTTTCATCCTGGTTAGATGTCCAAACCATTTCATTCTTTGATGTTCTATGTAGTCTAAACATGGCGTAGTTTTGACAGTGTTTCTAATGTCTATATTCTTTATCCTGTCTAGTCTGGTCTTGTTCGCTGCTTTTCTTAGACATTTCATTTCACAGGCTTCTATTTTTCTTTCATGGGTCTTGTTGATTGTCCATGTTTGGCACTGGTAGCAGAGTGTTGGAATGAAGATGGTGTTTTATCAATTGTCTTTTGGTCTTCATGGTTATATCTGGATGTTTAAGCAGAGGTGATAGTTGGTATGTGACAGCATTTGCTTTCTGTATTCTTGTTTCTATCTCTCTGTCCATTCTTCCATCTTCTCTGTAAATATACTGCCCAAGTATTTGAACTCTTTGGTTTGCTTGATTTTGGCACTTCCAACACTTATATTCAGTGGCCTGTGTGTTCTGCTGATCTTCATAACTTCTGTTTTTTCTGTACTGATTCTCATATTATGTTGTAAACAGCTGTTGTTGAGAGTAGTCAGATGTTCCTGTAGATCATATTCATTTTGATACAGTATGCTTTGATCATCAGCAAAAAGTAATTCGTTTATAGCATACACGTCTGGGTTTGCTTCTACAGTGATCTTATCCATGTATGTTATGAAAAGTAATGGTGACAGTACACATCCTTGTCTGACACCAGTTGTGACTTTGAACCATTCAGAAAGACCACTAGATGTTCTTACTGCACTTTCATTTTTTTTCATAGAGGGCTCTGATGTTGTCTAATAATTGACCCTGCACTCCGTAATCGTCAAGAATTCTCCACAGCACATCTCTGTCTACACGGTCGAATGCCTTCTCTTGATCTACAAAGACCACGTTCAGCTCTTTATCGTATTCGAGTGTCTTTTCACAGGCTTGTCTTAGTGCAAATATGGCATCAGTGCAACCTCGCCCTTTCCTGAAACCGAATTGTGCTTTACTCAGTAGAGGTTCAACCTTTGCTCTTATCCTACCTTCTAAGATCTTTGCATACATTTTCCCCACATGACTTAGTAAAGATATTCCTCTATAAGTTCCACATTCTCTCTTGTTTCCTTTTTTCTTCCAGATAGGTACTACAACTGATCTTTGCCAATCCACTGGTACCTTTCTCTCTGCCCATGCTCTATTGAAAATTCTCTCCAGCCAGGTGATCATAGTGTCCCCTCCAGCCTGGATGACTTCTGTTGTTATTCCGTCAATACCAGCTGCTTTGTGTCTTTTACTTGTTTTGATAACTTTTCTCTACTTCATCCCGCAGGATATGTGGTTCTAGATGATCTGGAGCCCTTGAATGGAATTCTGCTGTTTCATGTACTCCCGACGGGTTCAAAAGTTCTTTAAAATATTCCTCCCATCTTTTTTTAATTTCTTTTTGGCTGAATAATGGTTTTCCATTTTTATCGTTTATGACTGATGTTGGATTGAAGCTTTCTTCTCTTAATCGCATCGCTTTCACACTCTTATAAAAGTCTCTTGGTGATTCTGTACAAAGCTGTGTTAGGTGTTCACCATACTTTTTCCATGATTCCTCTTTGGATTTCTTTATTGTTCTCTTGGTGTCTCTTCGAGTTAGTCTGTACCTAATGTAATCCTTTTCGTCTTTTGTTTTTAACCATATTTGAAACATCTTCTTTTTATTTGACACTGCTTCTTTGACTTCTTCATTCCACCAAGCGGTACCCTTTTTCTTGCCTTTGCCCGTCTTTCTGGTACCACACTTGTCTTTTAATATCTTCGTGATGGTTGATTTATAATAATCCCATTCTTCTTCAATTCTTACTGGTTCCTTGGCAATATCTGCAAAAGCCTTTGTTATTTCTAGTTCAAATTCTTGTTTGATATTCTCTTCCTCTAATTTCTTAGTGTTGATGATTTCTTCACGTTTCTGTTTATGTAGACTGTTTCTACTTGAGTTGCATATGTTCATAACTACTGGGCGATGGTCTGAATCCAGTCCCGCATTTGGGACAGCTTTTGAGTCTCTTACCGTCCTCTTCTGCCGTTGTCTGACTAGTATAAAATCAATTTGTGACGCTTGATCTAAGTTGTTCCACTTGTACCACGTTTTAACCTGACTTTGGCGATGTTGGTAGAATGTGTTGGTAATGTAGAGATCTTGTTCAGCACACAAGTTTAACAGGTGTTCTCCATTTCTATTGCAATCTGTGGTTGTGTCGCTGAATGGGCCAAGGTATCTCTCCCATGGTGATCTTCTTTTACCTACCCTACCATTAAAATCTCCCATTACTATGATGTCCTCTTTCTCTTTAACATTATTGATGGTGTCCGTAAGTCTCTCGTAAAAGTCTTCTTTTTCTTCTTCAGAATAACTATCGTTGCAAGGTGCATATATCTGAATAATCGTTGTAGTTTTACTTCCTTCTGTCAACTTGATTAAAATAATTCTTTCTGATATAAATTCTGTTCCTGTTATTAATTTTGCTGTCTCGGGATGAAGTATAAATCCGACACCATGTTTTGCCCTATCTTTAGTGGGTACTCCGCTCCATAATAAAACATAATTTTCATGTATTTCTTTTGTATTATATCCTTTCTTTCTTGTATCCGCAAGACCCATGACGTGTATATTTTTTCTTTTCATGAAATCCACTATTTGTGGCTCTTTGTTGGCAATACCACATATGTTCCATGTGCCTATGTAAGTCGTTTTTCTGTCTCGTCGTCCTTTAACGTTTCCAGTCCATTTTCCGTTTGGGGCTGTCCGTTTATTTATCTCCTTTCTAATTTTCGTAGCAATAAAAAATCCACTGCCGGCTTGCTAGGCCAGTCGCAGTTTAAGGGAAAATCTGACCAGATGGACCCC